TAATATATATATATATATATATATATATATTTATGCTCAGGTTCTCGTGTAGCATCTCTTGCATGCCGTGCTGCTCAGTTACCATTAGTAGAGGGAGTAATATATGATGCAATACATTGTCAATTCCTTGCTCGTTATTATGAATCCAAAGAAAGCAAGAAAACAATCACAAAAAGATTTCCTCTTAGACGTTGGGGCTTTTTTAAATCATTTAGATTTGCATGCGATGCTGTACAACAAGCATATAAACCAGGAATCTTTTATGACGGAGAAATTACTAATATTATTGACACACAAGTTAGTTATTACTCCTCTTGCTGCTCTTGCTGCTCTTGCTGCTGCTTAGTGTCTCCTCTCTTTTTTTTTTGCTGTTTTTTCTGTGTTTTTTGATGGTATATAGAGGTGTGTCTCTTTTTTTTTTTCTCCTCTCTTTTCTCCTATTTCCTGTCTATTTTTTTGTCTCCTTTGTTTGTCTCCTTTGTTTGTCTCCTTTGTTTGTCTCCTTTGTTTGTCTCCTTTGTTTGTCTCCTTTTATCTGTCTATTTATTTATTTGTTTGTATTTGTGTATTTATATATCTGTCTCCTCCTTTTGTCTATTTATTTATTTATGTGTCTCCTCTACCTCTTTCCTATTCCTTCAAACTCTTACTGTTGCTGCTGTTGCTGCTGCTGCTGTTGCTGCTGTTGCTGCTGCTGCTGCTGCTGTTGCTGTTGCTGCTTCCGTTTCTGTTGATCTTATTGTATAAGTAATATTATATAGTGTCTCCTTATGTTGTATTATGTATATATACAGCGAGTGTCTCCTTCTGCTAACCAACAAGGAGGAGGAGGAGGAGGAGGATCATCATCATCATCCTCTCATGGTGTATGCATCAGCTCAACAGGACAACAACAACAACAACAACAACAACCATCAACAGCAGGAGGAGGAGGAGGAGGATCAGGAGGATCAGGAGGAGGAGGAGGAGGATCAGGAGGATCAGGAGGAGGAGGAGGAATAAATAATAATAATAATAATAATAATAATAATAATAATAATAATAATAATAATAATAATAATACAGAGTATTATATATTATCTGATTACCCTGAGATAAATTTACCATTAATAAAAGGAGTAAGTAGGGATAAGAAGAGTAAGAGATGGGCAGTATATTATAAGGGACAAAGACATTATTTTTATGATAAAAATTATGGTGGATGTATACATTCATATAATTTAGCTGTACATCTAAGGAGACAGCAAGTAGAGGAGATAGAGATTATTCAGGTGTATGATGATCTATTACATCACCATCATCAGCATCATCAGCAGCAGCAGCAGCAGCAGCAGCAGCAGCAACAGCAACATTATTATTCTTATAATAAAGGATTCAATGTTGGATATTGTCTGCGTATTGTTGTTGCTGTTATGTTATATGATCTGTCTATACACCTCAGAAAAATACATGTACAACAACAATTAGGTCTATATTCTGCTGCTGCTGCTGATGCTAATGCTGCTAATGCTAGTGCTGCTAGTGCTGCTGCTAATGCTGCTGCTGATTCATTATATGCACATGCTGCTGCTGCTATACATGCACCAGGTACTAATGCTGTATTAGATCATGTCTTGCTGCTAAGAAATTGTATTAAGCAACAGATATTACCATCACAGCTCAGCAGCAAAGATTTGCTGCTGCTGCTGCAGCAGCTGCTGCTGCTGCAAATCAATTCTGTTAAGGATCTACTACTTAAGACCAGTCTATGGAAAACTATTGTTTCTCAGCAGCAGCAACAGCAGCAACAGCAGCAGCAACAACAACAACAACAACAGCAGCAACAAGCAGGAGCAGCAGGTGCTGGTGCTGGTGCTGGTGCTGGTTGTGGTGGTGGTGGTCAAGGGCAGCAAACAGGGGAGCAACAGCAGCTACAGCAACAGCAGCAGCAACAGCAACAGCAACAGCAGCAGCAACAGCAACAGCAACAGCAACATCAGCAGCAGCAACAGCAACATCAGCAGCAGCAGCAGAATGAGGATATGCAACAAGAAAGGATGCAACAAGAAGAAGAAGATATGCAACAAGAAACCATGCAACAAGAAGAGGATGTACATATGCAAGAGGAGGAACCACAGCAGCAACAGCAGCAGCAGCAGCAGCAGATTAGTACTGCTGCTGCTGCTGCTGCTGCTGCTGTTAGTAGTATAAGTGGTGGAGATATTCAACCGAATAAAACAGCAGCAGACATAACAGCAAATCCTGCTGCTGCTGCTGCTGCTGCTGCAACAACAGAAGCAGTTGCTGCTGGTGCTGCTGCAGCAAATGATGATGAGACACCTATGTGTACAGACACCTAAACTTATATATATATATATATATATATATATATATA